GTTCCCCGTAGCTCCAACGTTTGACCCGCTGCAAGGGTCACAACCACGTCTCGGAGGCGTACCGGTTTTAGTGTCGGCTGCTGTCTAGCGGCAGATGGCTGCTTATTGGTGAGGTTGCGTACCTCCCCTTCTGAACTCACCGCTTTTGCTGGATTCGCCTTGGGCCTAAAGCTTCGTGGAATAGCTTTAGTTTGGGCGCTTGGTAGCCCCTGAATCAGCTTCCGCTCCCCACTGTTTCCCTGCTGTTGACTTTGTTGCCTGGCAGCTTTACTCGGCCCGTCGCGGACGATGTGCTCTCTGGACCCACACCCGTAACAAGCTCCTCTGGAGGGCCGTTGTTTCCGGGATAGAATATCTGCCACCTTCTCCGCCAGACGGTCGAGCTGTTCCTCCGTGAGCATCAGCGGCGTCGTCTCCTGGCGACCAGCTACCGTTACTGCGTCGACCTTCTCCGCCAGACGGTCGAGTTGTTCCTCCTTGAGCATCAGCGGCGGCGTCGTCTCTTGGCGAACAGCTGCCGTTACTGCGTCGACCTGGACAGTCCTGTTAGCTGCTGCCGCGGCTTCGACTCGAAACTCAGTCGTCCCGTCCAGCCTTCTAACAGCTTTCAGGACGTCCCCCAACTTTGGGCTGGCTTCCCCTGGGAAACCAAATGTGCCACGAAGTTCGAGCGCCAGAAGAGGTGAAACCCCCTTGCAGAAAGTGTGATACACCTTCTTCTGGGCATCGGCCTCAGTAAAGCTACGCTGCTGGTTTAGCTTCGTCATCTCTGACCACAGTCGGCAGAGAAATTTTGACGCTGACTCTCTTGGATGTGGAGTGAGTCGGCTGAACTGCAGATACCTGTCATCGGCACATCGAGTGTCGCCAAAAGTGCTTTGTAGTAGGCTTAGCACTTCCTCTGGACTCGTAGCCTGCTTTACATGCTCATAGGCAATCCCTCTCAGGCTGCCTAAAATGCGCGGCAACGGGTTCGGAACGCTGGTGTTCCGCAGCAAACATTGCACTTGGGTTTCCCAGTCCGGGAAACTCACCTCCCCTCCTCCAGTGGGGAAAAGGCCGGTGAACAGGTTCAGCCTATTGTGTGTTGACATGCACACCTCCACCGTCACGGGCCGCTGCGCACTTGTCTGTTCTAGCTCCGCCATCGTAGCCCTCAACTTGGCCAGCTCCTGCGACAACTTCTCAAACGTCGGCTCACCGTGTTCCATCCTACCTCTCAAAGTCAAGCCCCACGTTGGGCGCCAAGTGTAACCCTCACTCAGTGGGGATGCTTTTACCCACTGAGGTGTTGTGGTTTAAGACGGGCTGACCCTGAGATTAAGTACACACCGACGCCGACAGTTGTTGTCCAGTACTCGTTTATTTACAGCATCGAGCCATGACGGCGATGCAACACAAAACGAACTAGCCAAGATAAACCAAAAGATCCAAACAATCCAAAAGACCAAAAGATCAAAAGATCAAAAGATCAAAATAGAAACAGAAAACTGTAGCCCTAAAACAAATGTAAAATAAAAAAGTTACATTCAGGACAACACCACGTGTAAGCTACAATATACACGGGTACAATAAATTATGTTTTCGGCCAGTACACAGTACTGCCAACAAGTACCAATAAGTAGTACTACAAAATAAATACTTAATTTAATACATCACCCTAACTAGTGTGCACATGCAGCACTAGCAGGAATACATAAGTATTTAAACAAACATAATTTATATATCTACACTACCTTCATTAGGTCTACATCTTGGTCCACAGACAGCAGCCTTGCGTGTGCGACACGACTAGGCACATGTCACATGACATGGAACACAGGTAATTTCGCTCACAAAAGCATAAAAAAACGTCAACAGTTCAGTTGCAGTCCCACAGGGGCCGCAACCCAATGAATAAAAACTTCATAGTTTTATCCCCCTTTTGGCTGGTAACCATATGTGTTACACTTATATATGAAATTTTATCAACCTAGCCGTAACGGTACTCAAGTTATCTTGTTTACAGACACATACACACAGACACACATATACACACATACACACATACATACACAGAGACATACGGACAAGATTGCAAAAATATGTTTTTCCGACTCAGGTAGGTGTAAAGCATCGAGATTCGCAAAAATCTCATTTTTTTGCACGATTACAATACTTTCTCTATACACGAGAAAGTAAAAAGAATACTGGGATAAAAACTAGATTAATTAAAACATTTGCTGATGCAACTATTTTACCTGAGATTTCTTATTTGACTGCTGTCGCATGTTCATGTTTCACTGAGCTTCTCGTACAACTTTTGTCCGCTTTACTATTACAGTTTTTTTCTTCAGCTTGAGACTACTTATACAGATTTACACCACAAACAGTAGCGTACGCAGGGGGGGAGCAGGGGGAGCGGCCGCTCCCCCTCTGGCCATTTTCAGCAAAGTGGCGCCTTTTTGGAAACTTTTTAAACTCTAATTTTTAAACAATGATATTTGTTAAAAAATATTTTTGGTCGGCACATCTATGTAAATCACAATATTTCTTTTCATGCAGCAATTAAGCATTATTGTACTAGTCTAGTAGTGTCTACCTTTACAACACGTATTAACAGCTGCATCAGTTTGCCATTCTAAAAATAACCATTACGATGCATTGCAATGTTTAAAAAACCTCTACGGTAGTACCACTTGGCAAGAGGGGTGTTAAGTTTAAGGCAACTGTATAATGTATTTGCTTACGAATAATTGAATTAGAAAATGTTATACATAAAACTTCACACATAATTACTTTATATATACAGTTTGAATCGTGTGATTAATTTAAAAAAAAATTACAATACAGAAACAAATACAACTGATGTGGCACCTCTATTTAAATTTACGTATGAGCAAACTGCGTAGTGGTGGGGAAATTTTGACAAGGTTAACAACGTCATCACGATGAAGTAGTAGTATTCTACAGTTTGGGCGATGGTGGTTACGATTACAAATTATATGAAACAGTTGCAACCCCCCTCCCCCATGGACCCCTCTGTAAAAAAAATATTGTCATAATACCACTGCTACTTATTTAAATCTATTTCTGTAATATATATTTGTGTAATATATATTTGTGTAATATATATGTATGTTAAGAACAGTCGTCTAAAAACTGACGATATGTTCACTCTGAGTTGGTTATCTCCCCCCCCCCCCCCCCACACACACCTCACCACGACAATTGTGTATAGCGACATAATGTCACACCTAGGTATACACTGGGTTGGATAATTGACCTACAGTGAACGGACAGTGGTGAATGAAGTTGAACCCACCCCCCCCCTAACCCACCCCGAATTGATCTGTTAAGTACATGTAGAAACACGCGTAATGATGTATCAAAGTACCATGCCGCCAGAAAATTAGCTTTTTAAACGTAAAACTGAATATTGTTTTTGCAATTACCAGTAAAAAGGTGTGCGAGCAATACAGTGATCTAACCCGTACCTATCACTATGTTAAAAATGATCATTAAAGAACACAAAGAAGTAGTAGTTAATTAAAATGTAGGATCTGAACTAAAACACCAATATTTAGTTAAATGTAGGCTGTTATTCCGAATGTTTTTCTATAATGTTTCGAAAAGCGTGGTTTTATACCAACTCTGATTTTAAAAACTTTTATTATGCTGTAATACTTTAGCATTTATGATGACGATATATTAAATTCTGATTATAGACAAAAACATTTTGTAAACACGAATAGTGTTAAACAATTTCATTATATTCTAAAGTAGTTATTTATTTGTTTTGATATTTATAATTAAATGTGTAGATATATACATATTTATATTAAGAGAGTGATTATTTCCCCTATTTCACTTGTCTTAAATAATTTCCCAGGAATTATTATGTAAGAATTTTTTTTTATAAGAATTACAAAACATATTGTGTTACGTTCATTGGTTTAGGTTGTAGTGTGTGTATATATATATATATTTTTGTTTAGATTGATACAATTTTTGTTTTGTCGGCCTACATTGTGTGTTTTTTCTTATTTCTTCAGAGTGCTACTTTCAATTTATTTTACATCATAGCGAAGTAATGACATACAGCTAGTAATTATATATATATATATATATATATATATATATATATATATATATATATATATATATATATATATATATATATATATATATATAATACACGTATATAGAGCTTGTTAAAAATTCGGCGCCATTTTTTGCTCTTTTCGCTCCCCCTACAACGAAAACCTGGATACGCCTCTGACCACAAATATTCGTTTTTGAATCCAGCTTTCTTAATAAACACTAGTTTTAATGCCCCAAAATTCCCCAAAATTAAGTGTTTTGAACGGACACAAATTTTGAAAATTCATAAAAAATTAGTTTGAAATATGCATTTAAAATTTTTAGCTGAGTGCCCCAAAATATGAAAGAAGATTATGAATTAATTGTTTATTGGGCTTAAAATGTAATATGTTATGAATGGTTGAAAACCTACGAAGCGGTTAATTTTTCAAGATGGCCGCCGTTGTCACAGTTACCAAGATATTTTCACCAATATTTTTAGAAGAAATGCATATGTGGATGTATCTTAATAAATCTGTAAAGAAATCACTGTTTTCTAACGAGTATTAAAAAAGTTTTTTTTTTACCGGAGCCTTCCCCCTTAAAATAAAATGTTATTTCTATGACATATTTTAAATTTACGTTGATATAATCTTATGATTGAAAGCGGATTGCTCAAACAACAACTACATATTATCTATTATTATACATTTTTCAGATTTTTTTCTGCTTAAAATAAAGTCCACAATTTTTATGCTGTATTATATCTATTAAATCTTAATTAACCTGTAATCATTTAAGTTGGGTATGTTTAGTATTCTGTTTTTGGCGAATTGTTTTATTTCTCTCTGTCTATCTTGGTGATTCAGCTGCTTTCATGTATATTATGATTTTTTTTAAATTTCTAAAGTTTTAAGTACTCCAAACAATATCCACAGTATCCAATGCCTTACACTGGTGAAATTAAGCATTCGTTGTATGATGGCAAAGAAATCATTGTGGAAGGAGTCATCGATAAAAAACCCCAAAGGTTATAAAAACTATTTTTTTTAAAGAATATAAACTACATATGATCAAAAATATACTTTCTATGAATTAGTTGTAATTGACTTTTAACATGATTTTGATTTTACAACCCAGCATATCTTATTAGTGGCATGTCCAAAAACTTTAAATACTCTCTATCTAGTTTTATTGTCGAATTGTGTGAGAAAAGTTCATGCTACCAAGACATCGAAATGCAAGCCACTTATCGTTTTCACACTCAGAGATTCAACTTGAATAGCAGAAGAAACTTCAAGTGGGGACCAGACAAAGTTACAGACGGTAAACTGTTACAAGAACAACAAGCATTTAACATGAAAATTGTAATTTACAGCCAACAAATTAAGGTAAAGCCAATGACATTTTTCAGTATATTAATATTTTAATTTTTTTCTACACCACCCATTATTCTTTTGATGAATGTGGGTTTAAGGGTCATTCATAAATGATGTCCTTCTTATTTGATCTTCCCCCTCTTGTCACTACTGTCACTAACCGTTACAAAATAAATCAAACACCTGGTCTAATAAAACGTCACATCTCCGCCAATATGTATTTGTCTTTTAATCACATGCTGACGTTTTTAAATGTTCATTTTACTAGGTATTTCTCAAAAGCAAAACTTTTGAATTAAATGGGTTGGTAAGGATGACAAAGATAAAGTACATTCGGATTCGTGCAAGCGCTAAAGTACATTGGATTTTGTTTTCAGTAGGTCACCCAACTTAATATTTAATTAAGTATTCTTAAAATAGGCATTTGAATATAGGAAATACCAGTCATAAAAAATGAATATTATACTTTAAGTCATTTACCGAAGTGACTGAAATAGGTAAGCTCTACATCACCTGCCTCATTATCATCTGAAAGGGCACTTCACTGGTTTTTCATATATATATATATATATATATATATATATATATATATATATATATATATATATATATATATATATATATGTATATATATATATAAATATATATATATATACATATATATTTATGGAAAGATAGAGACATATATAGAGAGGTATAGATAGATAGTCCTACATAGAGGTATAGAAACATCCATCAACCTTAAATTTCAGATTCATCGGCCAGTAAGTATAAATCTATTTATCTTACTTTATATATATGTATATATATATATAAATGTATATATATATATACATATATATATATATATAGGCCTATGTGTATATATATATATATATATATATATATGAATGTATACATATATAAATATATGAATATATATTCAGAATACTCCTGTGAACTCTCAACACTTGAAAATGTTGCACACAGCATGCTGTAACAGAGAAAAAATTTATATTAATTGCACTAAATTTTAGATATTTTGCAATGTCAACAAAAAAGGCCGCATCAAGAAGGCTTAACAAAATTCTTAAAATTTCTCAAACACACAAGCAAATGTATGGCAATTTAATTAGAACAGTGGCGCAGGCAGGGGAAAGGTGTTAGGGCAAGTGTCGATCGGGAATTTGTTGTATATATATATATATATATATATATATATATATATATATATATATATATATATATATATATATATATATATATATATATATATGAAGAAAATAAAATAGTAACTTTTAATTTAATAGCCGGAGCGAATCGATTTTAAAGTCAACCCTATTGGAGAAAAGATCGTCTTTAATGGATTCCCAACACGAAACCAAGGCAGGTAATTGCATTTTGTTCTTCATCATTAGCATTAAGGTGGGTGATATATTTTTTTATAGTCCAAATTATAAACTATTGTAAGGACCATTAGCAGATTATATAACACCATAGTGTATGGTGGTTATTTATTATTTAGTTATACTGCAACATAACAAATATATATATATATATATATATATATATATATATATATATATATATATATATATATATATATATATATATATATATATTAGTTATCATAATGTTTTAAGATGGATTAAAGAGTTTAGCGTCATGCTCAGAGTTTCTTCCATGCATCTCTTCGGGGGGGGGGGGGGCAGGACCCCGTAAAAATTCTACCCCCCCTCCCCGAACGAAATGAAATGTATATATTTTATATAGAAAATATATACTTTTAATAGTGTCCGCCCCCCCCCCCCCCCCGAATAAAGTCTACCTCCTCTCCCCCCGAAGTGCCCCCCCCCCCTGGAGAAAAAAAGTCTGAAAGAAACACTGGTCTTGCTACACGCAAAACAACAACAGCACGTGATTCTATAAACTAACCTTGCAATGCGCCGCCATTCCTCAATATCACTTATTGTTTCAAAAGTAACGTCATTGATAATTGAAACGAAAAAATTAAGCGTCTAATTTAATTTTCTAGTATTAGAAGTTGATTTAAATATATTGAAAATAAATATCGGAAAAGTAATTATATATGTCTATATATATATATATATATATATATATATATATATATATATATATATATATATATATATATATATATATATATATATATATATATATATATATATATATATATACATACAAAGCTATTTGTTAAGGACCATTACCTGTGTGTTTATTAATCATCGTATACCCGGCATTGCCCAACCTAACCACAACCATCCAAAACAAAACAAAAACGCAAACATAACGCAAACATGATTACAAATACAAACACAGTCGAAAACAGAAACCTAACAGCGAACACAACCACAAGCATAAATACCAAAAAAAAGCTAACAAAAAAAGCAAACGAAAACAAACCAATTCGGAACTTAAACCCAACCACAACACAACACAAAGACACCACAAAGACAACACAAAGACAACACAAACATAACAAAAACACAACACAAACACAATACAAACACAACACAAACACAACACAACACAATACAAACACAATAAAAACACAATACAAACACAACGCAAACACAACACAAACACAAAACATAAACAACTTAAACACAACACAAACACGATATAAACAAACCAAAACACAAACCGGGACGGCTATTATTATATAAAATTGTATAACTTCTTGTAGTTTGGTGCAGGTCTCTATAAATGAGTTTTCTGGTGAAACCAACACAAGTGAATTCCCCTTTGTGCGCAAAAAAAAGGACAGACAGAAACGAATACGCCAAAAAAAAAATAGAGAACTAATAACCTGCAGGAACTCCCGTTCTTGAATAAAGATGTTTTTTTGTTACTTCACCCGTCTTTGATTAAAAATAGTAATCTAATATATAAATTGTTATCTTCTTGTAGTTTGATGCAGGTGTCTATAAAAGAGCTTTCTGGTGCGACCGACCAAAACGAATTCCCCTTCGAGCGCAAAAACGAATGCGCAAAAAACCACACAAATAATAAACGGCGGGAATTCCCGTTCCCGAACAAAGATGTCTTTTTTACGTCAAATGTCTTTAATTAAAAAAATATTTAGTAAACAGTACGTTCAGTGTATGAAATAAATAAAAGGCAGAATTAAAAATACCTAACAAATGCTTTTGATTAATCCGTGCTAATTATGTAATTTTTTTCCCAACACCAAAACAAAGTAATAAAAAGTAACTTCTTTTCCACTAATGCAATTTTATATAACTAAAAATAATTGTGTTTTCCTAATTTATCAAAGGGAAGTCAGTGCTGAAGGACTAAATATAAATAATTTTCAGACATAATTAGAATTTTTGTAAAAGGTGATATTTTAAAATAAAACTGTTTAATGAACATGCCGACAATTATTACTATCAGTTAAAAAAATGAAAATTATTTCCCAACACATTCAGTATTAGTTTTTTTAAATATGCATTTAGACCATGAGCGCTTTAATTATCTAACTTTTGAATCCATGGAAGTATCGTATTTTCTTATATACTTTTGTAATCCACGATATTGGGTGTTTTATTTCAAGGTATATTTCCGACATTAAGAAAATCTAAAAGAAAATGTAAAATAGTTTGATGTTATTGCACTTGTTTTAAATTGCAAAAAAAAAAAAAAAAAAAAAAAAAAAAATGTCCGAATCAGGAATGCCAATTCTGGATAAAAATCGGTTGTATACATATACATATACATATACATATACATATACATATACATATACATATACATATACATATACATATACATATACATATACATATACATATACATATACATATACATATACATATACATATACATATACATATACATATACATATACATATACATATACATATACATATACATATACATATACATATACATATACATATACATATACATATACATATACATATACATATACATATACATATACATATACATATACATATACATATACATATACATATACATATACATATACATATACATATACATATACATATACATATACATATACATATACATATACATATACATATACATATACATATACATATACATATACATATACATATACATATACATATACATATACATATACATATACATATACATATACATATACATATACATATACATATACATATACATATACATATACATATACATATACATATACATATACATATACATATACATATACATATACATATACATATACATATACATATACATATACATATACATATACATATACATATACATATACATATACATATACATATACATATACATATACATATACATATACATATACATATACATATACATATACATATACATATACATATACATATACATATACATATACATATACATATACATATACATATACATATACATATACATATACATATACATATACATATACATATACATATACATATACATATACATATACATATACATATACATATACATATACATATACATATACATATACATATACATATACATATACATATACATATACATATACATATACATATACATATACATATACATATACATATACATATACATATACATATACATATACATATACATATACATATACATATACATATACATATACATATACGTATACATATACATATACATATACATATACGTATACGTATACGTATACGTATACATATACGTATACGTATACGTATACGTATACGTATACGTATACGTATACGTATACGTATACGTATACGTATACGTATACATATACGTATACATATACATATACATATACATATACATATACATATACATATACATATACATATACATATACATATACATATACATATACATATACATATACATATACATATACATATACATATACATATACATATACATATACATATACATATACATATACATATACATATACATATACATATACATATACATATACATATACATATACATATACATATACATATACATATACATATACATATACATATACATATACATATACATATACATATACATATACATATACATATACATATACATATACAT